GTTCCATAATGTTCTAGACACTGCTGTTTTGAAGTATTTGTATAGTAAAAGGAGTACGGACACTATGACAAGCACTGACAGAAAGACATAAAAACAAATAAATTGATGGAAAAAGCGGGAACTGACAGTTGATCATTCCAGAACACGTGATTTTGACATGGTTCTTGTGGGGCACACAAACTATCTGTTAGGTTCCCTTTGATTAGCATAGCCCTGGCCATCTCTGCCACTCCAAATTATGGACTATGGATTATTTATTGTACCTATCGCTTTCTTTATCTGAACTTGTGCGCAGATAGTCGATTTCAGAAACTTCTGGATTGCCAAAAGATGTTGACAGGGCAAGAAAATTCAACCCGCGTTATTGAAAATAAATTTCCGATGGCCAAATTCGCATCAACAACCCCTCTATAGTAATGTGAACCGATCCATAGTGAGTCGAGCACTAAACTTTGTATTGTCATATTATAGCTTCCTACTTATCACCTCTACCACTCTTTTATGAGCGTAAATGTTCGATCTAAGATGGATGTATGTTCAATTAGTTGTAATAGATCGATTTTCACCCCTGGACACTTTTGCTACATCAATTATTCCACTGAACCACTATTAACGTAAGTATAGATACTTTACGCTCAGTTTATGATCATTTCATTGTAATGTAATGTATGTACTCCGTTGGCAAATATGTAGATACCAACTCGCCATTGGCCTTCATTGTGGTCCTCCATCCTTATCATTCCATATTTCAGGTAGAAATACTCTTCTAATCATTTTATCATACCCTGTGTCCCACTCGAGGAGACGCTCTTCACTCTGATTCAAAAATGACGCAGACACAGAAAAACATATGGATGTACTCTTTCCCGAACATATTGAGGAAGATGCAAGAAGCCTTTATCAACGCAGAAAACAAATTGTTTTCCTTGTCTGGCGAAACATATAATTTACTTCAAAATCGTTTTTGATTTGGTTATGTCTCACTGTCACTGATTGTCAAGTGTCCGTACTCTTAATATACAAAAACTTCAAAACAGCCAATGTCAAGTACATTTAGAAACTCTAGGCACAACCAGATTCGAACCGTTGCTGATACCATATAAAATCGTAGCCATAGTAACATTGAAAAATGGTAAGTGTCACAAGATATCTGGTTCTGCCTATACTAATCAGATGATTTTTTTTTCGTGTGATTCAGACCTATCAAGGAAGAATCTGGAGTCAGATTTAGTAGAGATATTTCCTTTCCTTTTAGACTACTTTGATGTAGTGGAGGCTTATACAGGTCTGAAAATATGTTTTTCCTGATGGTCCTAAAAATCTCGAGATATTCATATAGACACTTATCCAGACCCATGTAGAAAGAATCCGGAGTCAGATTCAGCAGATAACTTTTTCTTTAGATTTTCACAATCAGCGGTTCACGCAATGAAGTAGGTTCATACAGGTTTAAAAATATTTTTCCTGATTGCCCTTGAAATCGCAAAACTTCCATAGATAATAATTCAGACCCATTTAGTAAGATTCCTGAGTCAGATTCACTAGAGAACATTTTCTTCAGATTTTTAAAATTAACAGTTCACTCGATGTATCAGGATGATGTAGGTCAAGTATTTTTTTTCCTGATTGCCCTGAGAGTCTCAACATTTTAATAAACACTAATCCAGATCAATAAGCTTCTCCTTTACCTTTTCAAAATTAGCAGTTCATTCGATATAGTAGGCTCTAATACAGGTCGAAAAATATGTACCTCCTGATTGCACTAAGAATCTCAAAAAATTCATCGACAATAATTCAGACTAATGAAGTAAAAATCTGATTCAATTCTCATTCTTCTTATGCCTTATTCTCATTCCTTTGAATAATGCAGTAGGTTCATACAGGTCGAAAAATACGTTTTCCTGATTGCACTTAAAATCTCGAAAAATTCAGATTCATACAAAGAGAATCTGATCGTGAGATTCAGTAGACAATGTTTCCTTGAGATATAAAATGAAAACTTCTAATTCCTTTACTTCGAATTGAGATTGAATTCTAAATAAATGGCTATACCATGCACATTGACCTACATATCCTAGGAGGGAAGCAGACCGGAAAGTTTGTTTGAAAAAAGCCATAAGATGAAATACAATCAGTCTTTCCCCTCGAATTTCTCACAGAAAGTAATATGATAAATAAAATAAGAGAATGTTTAAGTGGTTAAATCATTCAGGCACATGATAAATGATAAATTGATTTCCTTCATGTCGTCATAATTCAACTCAGAAACTTTTGAACATCATATTACAGTTTCTGTGGAAATCTAAGAATTGTGCATCAAGCACTGATCGAAATTTCTTTCAGAATTTTCAGAAATTTTACCAATGAATATATTTTGATTTCATCATGTGGACCGTCTCCGGTATACGCTTAATAAAACTCCTCGAGCCATCATTAATAAGATATGAAGTGACTTTCCCATCTGGCTGCGGTGGCTTCTTATCTCTCTCCGAGCGTTTCAAATGTTGGAAGAAACTTTTCACCCACTTCCCGCCGAAAAACAACATGGCCGCCGTACCGAAACTTTCCCACATCGATTTCCCCAGTCCGAGTCGAAACGTAAACACCATCGATTTTCCAAAATCCATAAAAAGTTGAGAGAGTTTAATTTCCCAACTCCCAACAACTCGGTCTCCAACTTACGTCGCCTCCTCGCTCACTTTCTCTCGAAGGAGTTTTGGGAGTTGCGACTGGGTGGGGTAGGTCGATTTGGGCACAGAACTTTTTTTCAGCTGCCCGGGAATTCTCGCAAAGTTGTCGGCATGATGGCCGCCGCCGTAGTCTTCTTCGAAGGAAGTTCATTCTACTTCTTGGAGTTGCAGGCGGTTGTAAAATCGATGTCGGGAAAGTTGGTGGCGGAGTTCGGAGTTTCGACCGAGTTGAATGTCTCCTATATCAAATTATTCAGTCTCATTCACCAACGAGTTGTCCTTCAGAAAAAATTCGGCAGGCTACTGCGTTTCTATCACCATTTCAATATGACTCAAGAAAAAGGAACAATCACAATTATTATGTCGATCTAAAAACTCTGAAGCAAAATTTAAGTCTGTTATGGGGAGCAATTCTGTTTTGGCATTCTTGAAATCACCCAGAGATGCATATCGTTATTCAAATTGGAATGCGATGATACAATTTTTCAAAAAAAAAATGTTCATGAATAGAAATTCGTGATTGGTCATAGCTCTTGGGATATCCAGAAGTGTGAAAATGGGTCATAAAAAATCCAAGTTCGTATTGAAAAAAGTGAGTTGATGATGGTTTCTGGAAGACGAAACGTCATATTTCAAATTTGAAAACTTCAACTCATAGGGAAGAAAAAGTGGTCATGGTAAAGTTTCAATCATTTTCATCAATTTCTTCGAATAATTTGAGAACAAATGAACGTGATTTTAGGAAATGTCGGTTGTTTTCGTATCGTTTCGTCTCTGAAAGTATTCAAAATTTAACAATATAACAATATATAGAGTATTCTCCTCAAAAACTCCAATTGAGTTAACATTCAGAAAAAACCGTGAATTGAGTTGTTCTCTCATTAGCCTCACTGAGGAGGGCATAGAAGATACATACATTTCAATCCGATCTCTCAAAAATATCCAGTCATACCATTTTATATTATTCAAATGGCAGTATGCAATGTTTTACCAAGTTTTTGATAAAAATTTGAATGCTTGATGAATGAGTTTCAATTTTCGTGAGATGTTGATGTTCAGGAAACAACGATTTGCAAGAACTGGTAGACAGTAATAAAACATTATAAAAGTGAATGTTCGAAATTTTGAAAAACAGCTCATGCTGTAAATCCAATTGTTTTCATATATTATTCATTATATTTTCCACCAAGGCTAGGCTCTGGAATTCATTGCCTAAAGAAGTATTCCCAACAACATATAATCTCCAGAAGTTCAAAAATGATTCCAATACCTACCTCCTGTCCCTATCCTCCCTAGGAACGCACGATGTTCTTTGAACATTATAGGGATTTCCTTTCGTGTGCCCCAAGCGATAAAAAAAAGTTTTGTGGTCCATTGTAATCACTAGGATTTTCTGCAAAATTTTGATTAATTGGTGGATGCGCCCTATATTTTCACCAAATTAATCTACTGCTTGAAATTCTTGTTATTTTTGTCATATTTGGTGGATGCGCATAAAGTTTTCACCAAATTTGGTGTTTTGATATTATAATGGGCCACATTTTACAGGTTACATACATTTCTTAATCGAAAATTTGTTTTCACTTCGATCCCTCGAGTATCAAGTATTCAGTCATTTTGTTTCTTTTTTTTTTTTCGAACGGAGTATTCGAAAGAAAAAAGCTGATTTAAAAGTAGTTTATCAGTTGATTCGAGTCTCAATTGGAGATTTCCCATGAAATGTATGCTGTGGTTCACAAGTTGTATCTAAATGTTCTGAATTTTCGTGAATATAAATGTTGAAGTTCAGGAAACATTGATATGCAAGCGTTAGTAGGCAGGAATAAGAAAAAACATCGAGTGTTCGAGATTTTCTATTTTTTGTGATCTCCACCTCGGTAGAAACACACTTCGAGTCGTCTCTGTCCGAGCCCACCTCGGCAATCCTTTTTCTCCTGCTGGACCCTATCGCCGAGAAGGGTGGGCAAGACGGGCAGGCTCCTGCGCGCGCATCTCTCTCCGTTCCTCTCTCTCTCGCTCTCCCACCTCTCTGCTGCTGCTTCCTGCCGCCTCGCTACTGCTAAACACGCTCTCCTGCAGTCAGTTGCAGCTCCGTGCGTGCCCTTTACGCACGCGACTATCCACAGCGGCGTGCGTGCTTCAGCAGGAAAAGTTTTCTCAGCAGGAAAGTTTTTTGTCTCACCAGGACAGAGGAAAAGTTCGCGGGTTCGATTTTTGATCGTGATTTGTGTGGTCGGGTGGTTTTTGTTTGTTGATGTTTTATTATGTTGTTCGGTAATGGTCGGTATCCGTGAGGACTCGGTGGTTTTTTGGCGAAGGGCATGGTTGAGTCCTTGAAAGATGATAGAAGCTGTTTGTAATAATTCGAGGTGGGTTGAATTGTGTGCTAAAGGTTTTTTGGGCTGGATTTTTTTCGACATGTGAGGATGAAATTATCGAGGATTCCAGTATTATCGGAATACTTTTTGAAATTATCCTTCTCTTCATTGCAAATTCCAAGAAAAATGCGTATGTTCATTTCATTTAGGTCAATGAGTATTATTTTGAACTCAATTCCCAATAATTCTATTGAGAATTTCATCATTATCATGTTCTCTGCTTGAAATCACGTTATGATGAAATGAAATTGTGAATTGAATGGTATGACGATCATATTCAAGTTTATTGGATATTTGTTCCATCAATTCATGCAACCAGACATTTTTCGTATTAGAATCTGAATAGTTATTCTCCACATCTAGTGCTATCTGCATTTATATTTATTTAGGAATGCAATAAAACTGTTTGATGTTCGGATTTCCTGACTTCTGATTATATTCCTTCATCGTCCGCAGCATTCTCATTTTTACAATTTTCTCCTCTAACAATCTGTATCAGTGATAATGAACCACTCGATATAATGAAAATTATTTCATGAGACAATCTTATCTTGCTGAGATAACAAAAATTATAATCATGGATAAGAAATTGAAAAAAGTTGAAGGCGTACAAATTTCAAACGTTGGAGACACTTGTAGCAGACTGAATAAATATTATATTGAATTATTCTACTTTTATTGCAATGAATTTGCTCTACTATGAGCAAGCCCTGGATCATACCCGAAATATGAGTCGATAATATAATATGTTGACACATTCATAATGGAAAGTCTCATGATCTTTAGTCTATAACAACAAACGATTACTCAATAACGAGAATATAAGGAACTTAGTTGATGCAATGAAGTAAAACTCATGATGCAATGATAATTTTGAAGTAAAAATTGACGATGCGCTTCCTTAATTCAATTTGTGAATTGATAACAATGATTATACTTTCGAAAACCAGATCTGTGGAGATGTCTGAAATCTTTTTTATATCAGAGGATCAGGAATTTTAATGAATCTGAATTGAATCAACCGAAACCAAGAATATTTCTATATACTTGAAGGATATACTTATATTTTTGTATATAACAGTGATAATTCAAACTGCCAAATGAATGGATTGATTTTTTTTCAACTTATTGTATAGGTACAAAAATTAATAATCGAAATGTCAACGGAATTCTGCGAAAACATCATCTACAGTACATATTCGAATCGATTCTCACCTTCATCATATTATTTTTAGGATTCTTTTGGCATGCTTACCTCATCATTTTTGGTTGAGCATGTCTGGAATGCTACTCTGATTTATTTCGTAATTTATGTGAGAAACAAGTTTGCTAAGAACAATATCAAATAAGCTTATGTTGTGTTAGTATATCAGAGAGCCCTTCATTTATGTTCTGAATTTGAAGTTAAGAAAAATGTGGAGTTGCAAAGAAGCATTCCAATACAAGAAATGTACTATTCGGCTGTTCAGAATCACCGGATTTCATAATCTTGATACCGACCGTCCACAATGAACTTCTACCCCACCCTCTCGCCCACTCTGTATTTCCATCAACTGAAACTGATATCCATCGAACGCCAAACACCATCAGCCGGCCGCCACACACATCCATCCCAACTCCTGCAACTCCCAACTCCCCGAGGCGAAATTTCCTCGACAATCGTCCCCCCATTAACTCCGCTGACCGCGAGTCGCTCCATCTAGGTAGCTTACCTTATTACCCGAACGACTAACTTCTCGATTTGGCCCCCCGCAAATCCCTACCCTCCTGCTCTAACGCTGATAGCTAAAGTAGGGACTATCCCTGGGATAAGCTGGCATCCGCGGACCACCTAAGAAGTGGCTTTCGAATTTTGCTGGATTAAGATGTTTGGGAGTTTGGCGATAAGCGGCTTCTGCTTGTCAAAAAGATTTACTGAAGACGGCAAGTTGGCTGCTTATCATTATTCTGCGCCTGACACCAGAGATATCGGCTGTACTGTATCATTATGATGACTTATGTTCCTACATACATTCATTATGGAAGGATATGCGTTCTAAATATGTTCTTTCTGAAAAATTACGAAATATTTTGAAACTGAAAACGGTTCATTTTTGTATATAGGAACACTTTTACTAATTTAGAAAAAATGCGTATTTTATTGCAACAGAATCAGTAAACTAGGATTGCTAGTGTGATTTTTGAATATTTGGTGCAAGCACCTTTTATTCTCACCAAATTAGTCGAGTCATAATAAAAATGTTGATGTAATTTCAAATATTTGGTGAATGTACATAATATATTCTTCAACAAGTTTTGTGTTTTTTTGTAATCACTACGAATCCTATAAACGTTTAATTGTTTGGTGAATGCGCCTTTTATTTTCACAAAATTATCAGAATACTAGACATGCTGGTGTGATTTTTGAATATTTGGTGAATGCGCTTCAAATTTTCACCAGATATTGTGATTTGATATTTTAATGGGCCACAGCATTTGCAAAGTACTGGTTTCATACGTTTTCTATCAGTAACTTGTTGTTATGAACAAGTATCATAAATAGTGAGTATATCGGAGACCGGCACTTTTGGCACAATAACCATTTTAACACCCAACAAATTCTTCCTATGCTTCGTCACATCTTCGTAAATTCCATGTATTGAATCTTTGGTTCATGAGTATAAATCGTTTTTTGGTTTGTTGTAATCACCAGCGAATTATGAATTTTTTATTATTATTTGGTGAATGCGCCTAATATTTCCACCAAATTAGTGTACCGCTTGGAATTCTCCTATGATTTTTCAAACATTTGGTGGATGCGCCTTAAGTATTCACCAAATTCTTTAATTTTATGTAATCGACAATATTTGCAGGTTTCATACATTTCTTGCCCTGAAATTTGTTATTATATACTGATATTTAGTATAGGGAGTATACTGGGTCGTCATTTTGTTTCAGACTATTATTTTCATGGAATGAGCTTGTTAATATTGTTTTTGAAATAAAATTTTTTTCGATTCGTTTTTTTTATCTGAGTCTGCAATCCTCAATAATTATTGATATTTTTCAAATTTTACAATAGGCTCTGTAGCAGTCATCAGATCCCAGACTGAAATGCATATCGATTAACATACAATAATTATTTGTGTCAGCTGCACAATAAAATGCATTTTTTGGCTTATTTATGTTGTTGCTCAGATTATCATACATCTCAAGTATCCTGGCTGATGGGCTATTCTTCAAAATGAACCGAAAGAATTAAATATAATTACCCTACATTCAAAATCTAATAATCATAGTGATATTCATGTGATAAAAAATTGTTCGCATCCTCTTTTGGGACGTATCTTCTCCGGTTTTTCCAAGTTCAAATATCATTCCTGCATCCGCAGAAGATACTATCCTATCTTTTATCGAAATCCTAAGTGAATCTGACGGTGATATCATAACATTTTTACGTTTACTCGACACACATATAAAATAATCGGATCCGGAATCCAAAGAAGCGAAAAGAGAATCTCGATCTGACAAGGTCTGCACCCCAATCCCCCAAATCTCTTACCCCCAATAAATACCGGAGGGGAACTAGGGCTGTCTGAGCCTTTAGGGGACTCTCCTGTTGCCCTTCTTTCAGACAAACACATAGGCGTACATGAGATATATTGAATAGGAGTTTGAGATAGGAGGGAAATTTAGTCATGTTATCATTGGCTTGAAAAAGTACAGATATGTTCGTCAATATTCTGGTATACTGTTTTTCTAAACGTTGAAATCATCATCCCCAATTTTGTTAATTCGATATTTCACGATAAATTGACAATCAGAATAAGTATTATGTACCTGATGAATTGCGTCATATAAAAGACGCACCAAAACATAAACTAAAAGGTCGGAAACAATTTTTTTGGATGAGAAGTCATGTATATTCACGCATTTTTTCAAGCTCTCCATCCATTCGATTTCAGCGTCTATTTTCAATAACTTGAATAATTATGGTTTTTCTTCTCTGAATAATGCCATTCGCAGGCGCCGAAAAACTGAAAAAATCACTGTCTGTGTGAATGAAATTCGAAAGAAAATAATCATCATGCGATCAGGTAGATTGATGTGATATTTCTGATTCTGAGTCTAAACGTTCGGAACTCACTCACCTTACCTTTCTAGAGTTTTTCAAATTGAACACGCGGTATTATTTTGACTATGTGATGTAGGATTAGGAGGCAAATAATCTTCATACCCGTTGAAACTGTTTCCATCCATTGAATTTTGAGATCCTGAATTAGCTCGTTTCCACTGATACCTATGTGTCATTTTTTTGCAAATTCGTCTCTTATGGACAAAATTAGGAGTTTTTGTCAAAGTTGTTCCACCTATTTGGATAGTTTGAATTTCTATTGAAGATATTGTTCCCATGGAACATCAGATGTGCGTATCTGTGAAAATACGCATATTACAATTCAAAATATTGATTAAACTTCAATTAGAACTTGAAGATGGTTATGAGTGCTTATCGGGAGATATATTCGAAAGAAATGGAAAAAATCAATACGTAATGTTCCGATTTGAAAAATATTTACCGTTCACCCTGAACAGTTCTGAGGCGTAAAATTGGATCGGAAGTATTGAGCATCCATGTATCAAATAGCTTTTGCAATATTTCGTCTCGATATTGTCAATTATGACGTCAGAGTCTGTATCTGCAGATGATATTATTTCGACAAAAAAATATTACTTTCAAGTGATTGTAACATTGCCAATAATATTGGAGGAATGAATGATGGTTGCTGAGAAATTATAAATGAAAAAATTGTCATTGACTCTCTATGGATTTTTGTGTGCACTCTGTATATGCGAAAATGATTTATATTGAAAGACCTTGCCCACTTCGAGGTTATTATTGAAATGCCGCTATGTGAAAACATTTCTAATTTTTATCAAAATGTTCAAAGTTCATTGAAGGTACATGTTTCGGGCTTATATAAGCCCATCATCAGCCGATAAATAGTTCAAAGTTATGGAAGAGAGAAGTTGGAATTCAAATAAAGTAGACAATAACAGAGCAAACAAAGGCAATTCCTTCTTGATTGTTTATGTAAATTGTGTTTTTTTTCTTCTAAAAAGTATGAAAACTGTCATGAAATTATTATCATCAAGGGTGGCCCACGTTCCTTCAATCACCGAAAAGTGGCAATTATCGTAGGAAATTATCAATCTATTATGTTATGGGGATGACTTTGAATTTTTCTCTTATGATAGATTTTTTACTGGAAGTTGAAGGTATACTTGACAATATTAATGAATGTAACGTGAATTTAACTCGAAGTCGCATCCCTCTGAACCCGCCTATGGACCCAGCTGCCCTTCTTTCCACGTAAGCATGCATCACATCGTGAGGGTAGAGGGTAGCTCCATATACGAATTTTTATACTTAGCTTCCGACAGACGGGGGCGAGAGAAAGAGACAGGCCAGAAACGTTTTAGGGTTGCTTTGCACGACGGTGGGGTGAAAATATTAATGCTGTCTCTTAAAATATGCGGCGGATACGAAATCCCAATGAATACAATCGTGAAGGGTTGCCATACCTGAGTGGCCGCGATAAATACAAATTAAATCAAAATAAAAAGATGAAAAGCGGCGTGTGACTTGCAGGATTTTCGTACTGGAATGTGAGGGTGAAAATGTTTGAGGGTAGGGGGGCTCTAATGGAAAGTTCCGTTGAACCGAATACGGATCATAAATTCAGGAGCTCAACAATTATTTTGGATATTTTGACTTGTGCTTCAACTATTTTAGTGATGGAATATCGTTGTTATAACTGCAATCAAGCTGAGTGCAACAAATATGCTTTTGCACATATCGCACACAACATTTTTTCGTCAATCGAATTGAATTTATTTCCATTTGAAATTTTATTGAACTGTATTTTGCAATGAAGGAAATATTACCAATTCTCAGAAAATTTCTACGATAACCTGAAAAGCTTGAACCAACGTTATTTTTATAAAATTGTAGTTTTTTTGAGTTAGTTTCGATTGTAATATCGCAGCTAGATCAATATACTGAGTTAATTGATGGACAAACATCATTATCAATAATTTCTTCCAGATATCAAACAGTAACGTTTTGAAGAATATTGTTGAACAGAATATCACTCTCTTATATAAAATATCTATTAGAAGTATTGCAATTAATGTCAGACTTCAAGAAGTAAAAGAAAAATTTACCGTTTTCGTGAAAGATCCATACAATCTAAATGTCTTATAGAATATCTTATTTAGCAGTATTATGATATTTCTTAGGAAAGAAATAACATTTCTCTGAGAATTTCGTGATTCAGACTCTGGCTCCTTCGCCAAAATATTAAAACAAACTTGTAATTTTTAGATTACACACTTTCTTACAAAATTATCGGTAATTTTCATGCACTTGTGCAATTATAACTGAAGATTTCCTCATTATTTATATGTCGCATGAGATCAATGCAACTTTCGAAAAATTACAGCGGTAATTGAACTGCAGAACGAAGATTGCACTGCGAAAACATTCCGTCGCCATAACACATTTGAAAGCGTCTTGCTAGACGCCAGTAACGAATACAACTAAATGTCAGGTAGACTTCATAATGTAAAAAAATTTCGCGTGTTGGTGAGTGAATTTTTTTATTCGTGAAATACTCGAATGAATTGAGTTCGTGCATAAACATGACCAGATAATTTTGCATTCAAGCGTCTTATCTCATCTTATATATATTATTGTTGATAACAGACTTTCATACAAAATTATCGGTAATTTTTTTGCACTTGTGCAATTATAACCAATAATTGACTATGGAGTGTTTTCGGATATAGAAACATAATGCCTTCTATAGACTTAATCGATAAAAATATTCGACAATTTTGTTAAGTTGAGAAAACTTCACAAATGGTAATATTTTCACAAAACTCTCGAAAATACAATCGCCTGTAAGCAGGCAAGCTGAATACTCATTTCAGAATGTATGCACAGTATCTTCATCGCAAATATTACCTACTAAGAACACGAATCAGAAGTCATGGATTGTTTAGGTTAGCTGATCGTTAAATAACTTTCGTGCATTCATTGATTTCTGATTATTCAAAATGATTGGTTTCTGTTCGTAAATTTTTTCGAAATACTATTTCAATTATCGATTAGCGAAATCAGCGAGATTACAATCGACAATAAAATACATCTTGAAATGATCAATTATTTACATAAGGCCAATTCGGAAGGAGCTTTTGCACCTTCATAAACTAGATAATCAAGGTAATAGACCAATGTAGTTGTTGAAAAAATGTGTATGTAACACGTGTATGGAATGTATTTTGATTTACTCCTACTCGAATATATGATATTGAAATGTTAGCATTCACATCGAACTTCCCCATCATCAACCATTTTGGATCATGAGAATTCGGCAAGCTCCCATCATATCCAAAAATTTTCTGATGAACAAACAATAATAACTATCATCTTATAGCAAGGAAATTTATACGAAAGGAATGCATGGCTTCCAGCTTGAACTAACTTCGATCTAAATTCCGTTAGGGTACATTTTCCAAAATCGAACTTTTTTCCAGGTCGCATCGTCCGTTCGGCTTACCGCAACTGAAAAAGCGAAAAATCGAGCCTCCCAACATGACGACCGTCGCGAAAAGCTTCACGAAAACCCTAGAAACTCTAGAAGACAAACGCCGAAAAAAATGCGAGGATCCAAAATCCCTCCTCCTACCGCAAAAGAAACGAGTACTACCATCGGTCTCTAGCACTTCCAGTCCTGTCAAGAAAAGTCCCAAGATGAGCGAAGAGGGGGCACCTGAAGAAACTCTGATACGCGAAACCGAGGCCGCTTTGAAAAACCTCTCAGGGAGTTGGGTAGGGTCAAGAAACAGCTACAGCGCCGCCCAAGAAGTAGCTACGCCGTTTGAGAACCTCTTTGACGAAAAGAAAGCCATTATCAAAATGTCCCCCAGCTCAGCTTCAAACAGCAGCAGCGACAACGCCTCCTCGGTCAAAGACGTCATCACTTTGAGGGACCAACACGAAGAGAGCTCAGAAGACAACTCGAGAAAAAGCAGCCCTAAATCCAGAACCGGCAAAGTCCACTACCAAAGCCCGGACTTCAACGAGCTAGTAGACGACTCCTCCAACGAACTGGAGATCGACATGTCTGAAGCAGCAGCAGAAAAGAACGAAAAGCATGACAGAAGGGACTCGAAGGCAAAGTTCCATTCCTTTCACAGTTCCCCATTTTCCACCGCCTCTGCATTCCGGCCTCCTCAATCGAAGAACCCCCCGTTGGGGCCCTTTCCCGCTGAGGCCACCTTCGTGGGCTACCCCAACGATTCGACCCCAGTAGAGGAAAAGAAGACCATCACTCCGTTGAAACCCTCGGAGGATGATAAAGTTGAGGGTGAGGTCAAAAGTCCGGAGGGGGCTAGCAAGCAGTACACGATTCTCCAGCCTGCAGGGGTTGGTTCTAGGGCAGCTAGTACTTTGCAGGAGGTTGCTAGGGAGGGGGTGCAGAGCGTGGCGGCCGTGGGTGGTGGAGGTGGTTCTTCAGGGGAGGCTAGGGAGAAGGAGGCTCCGGCTATTGAGAAGACGACGGTGGTGGTGCCACCTGGGGCTCTGTCGCCGAATAGTATCGGAAAGGGTGAGTTTTGGTTTGTGGAGCATGCTTTTTTTTTACTAAAGAATAGTAACTTTGCTCAACAATATTACACTTAAAAATGGAATCGTTGAATCAACATTTAAAGCGACTTAATAAATGATCGTGGCATCGTGAAGACCCCGTTAATAGATATTTATGTATCAAGGGCGTAAAGTAGGCGTTTATGGCCAGTGGCGTGAATAATGGCCCGATGGCACTGCCCGAGGGCCATTACACGCTGATTGCCATAAGCGCATTTCACGCACGTGATACAATAGATTTCGATAAACTAATATTCCCTCGAATTTTATTTGTTACGGATAAATTCAGTAATCAGGAGAAGCATGGATGATTTACATATAAAAATTATCGTACGAATATTGCAATTATCGTGATAGTAAATCTCTTTGATCTCTAGAAGAGATTCATTCTTCAGAATTTCACAATATGCATACCCAGTATATATTCCTACCTAATTGGTTTTTCATGCATTGATATGTGGATATAAGGAAACTGAGAACAGCGGGCGGTAAATGCACTTTATGGCCCGTGGGCCATAATGAGCCCGCAGGCGGTAAAGGGCAACTTAACGTCCGCAAAACCAGGCGGTAAAGTTTTTTTTATCGCTTGGAGCGCACGAAAGAAAATCCCTATAATGTTCAAAGAACATCTTGCGTTCCTAGGGAGGATAGGGACAGGAGGTAGGTATTGGAATTCTTTTCGAACTTCTGGAGATTATATGTTGTTGGGAATACTTCCTCAGGCAATGAATTCCAGAGCCTAGCCGTTCTATGGCAGCTTCAATGCCTGTTAACAACATATGGAAAACATATTCAACGGCCACTACGATGCTACAATCATTTATAGAAACGCTGTATTTGAAAATGAGTGAAATTGTATATTTTCCAAAGTTCCAAGTTCGAATCTGGTGAAAATTTTCTGCATGAACTCTGGATCACGCTCAATCAAACAAATCTATGAATTGTTCCGGAATAGATATTCAATGAGTTCGACTGATCATTCTATTTGATTCATTATGACAAGAAACTGTTTCAATGCAATATTTCATTGATTTAAGAAAAACTTATATTTCAATGAGACGAATTGTTTTGTTAAACCAACTTAAGCATTGATTCGGGAGTTTATGAAAATTCCTCATCATTTCTTATCAGTATAAAAACCCAGTGAACTTCTAGTATACTTCGATTAATCAAGCTGATATTTCAAAAACGAACGAAGCATTATGTATAGTGAATTCGAGGCAGGCATATAGACGAGGCGAGAAGATCGCCATTAAGTGGCAAAAATATAACTTGATGTTAAATGGAAGAAATATTCCATTGACATTTTATTGCTCTATTCAAGCAGAGCATCCATTCAAAACTAGTTCATTGCGACATCGGAATAAAAAAATTAAATGTTGTTTCAAAGATATCTCATCAATTATATGATCATCATTCCATCAAATCTACAAAATGTTTATCGTTGGATCAACATCGACACTATTTTTGAGTCAACCCTATTCGTTTGAATATTGAACTGTTAATTCAATTCAACTATATCATTGATTAGAACAAGCTGCTTCTTTGGAATGATTATATATCTGTTAAATTCAACAAAAATTTGCTCAATTCAACAAAAATCCAAACCCAAATGATATGTTGATCTAACAAATCCTTTTTTCCATGTATATGGAGTTGTATTCACTTCCTGAGTCTCACGAATTCAATACTAAACCCGAAATGGTCCATCGTGCCAAAAGGATTCGATGCAACGAATAATCCGTGTGGTGAGGATGATCCTTCGTCAATGAATCTTTTGTACATAAATTCGCAGGAAACATTATGGCCAATGGAGTAAGGTGCGTGCCTAATGAGCCAAATGTCCTGGGATCGAATCCCGTACTCTATCTATTTTTTTTTATAATTTTACTGTTGAGGCCGATAGTGATTCGCTATTTCAATGATGTTTATTTTCAGGATCGGCCATGAGCCGGAAATTTCCTGTATTGCTTCCGCATGGATTATTTGTTTCGCTCTGTCTCTTCTGGGTCCTGTCTCTAGATAGACCAATTGAGGTAGTATTGAATTCGTGCTACTGATACTGGAGCTACCATAGCATTTAGTGACAAAACTGATTTACCAATTAGGTAGCTTAGACTAAAGAAATATAAAATGAGAAGTATAGTACAACCCAGTGTCGGCATTATTACCAACGAATATGGCCTCCAACTTCTAGTTTTTTGGGGCAGTTCCAGTCTATTATTGAAACACGAAGTTTCAGGAAGACTTCAATCAGTTTCATTCAGTTGATACTCTCATCTGCATTATTTCGTAAAAACTACTCGGTGCTTCACGGCTCAAAATCCACAAAATAATTTCGTTGTTGAGTCATGTTCCTAAACCCCTCGCCAAATGCATGCAATCTCCCCCTACCTTCCTAATTGCGGCCCGCGAAAAGTCTTCCTTCTCCTTCCCTCACGTACCTGTCACCTGGCGCGCCATTAGCAATATGCTGGTGTGGTGGTGATTTTACCATCTTATAAGGACTTTTCCCCGATACAAGAAGTTCTAAGCTCCCCGAAAGATGACGCGTGACTAGCTTCGGAACTGTCTATTTTCCCTTTTCTCCCCAACCGCCCACCGACGTTCACAACCCTTTTTTCCCTAACGCTAATCACCCCTAATGCGTTCGACGTTGAATGTTAATGTTTGCAAGGCAATATGTGAGGGGACGAGGCATGAGGGTGGTTGTGTGTTTTGGGGGTTGGATCGGCGATGTGCGTTCGGAATGTGCAGTCATTGATAGCATCACGGGGGTGAAGAATTGTATCAATCGATGATTTTGAAATGGAAACTGTGTATCTATAAAGTCCCTGTATATACCTTAGACAAGAGTCCGGACACAGCTATACTTCTGTCCTTTTCTGTTTTCAAAAAATGCATTGATGATTTAATATAGGAATAAGGCATATATATATCGAGCTCTGTCTTTTCAATTCCCCTAGTATCAATGATTGTCAGAAACAATTTTGAGGGTTAGATTATTTGTCAAACCTTTCATAGCCGTAGGTAGAAGTAAGAAATAGGGCTATTTTAACTAGAATAACTATTAGATTTTCAAATAATGAACAACAGGGTGTTCAAATTTCGAATCGATAATTTTCATAATCAATTCCTGAGATAGCTATTGCAAATTTTCGTCATCAGATATTTCTTCCCTTCATTAGATATAAGAAAGATGATTTAAGTGTTTCATGTGGTATCACATATGGCCCAGAAAATATAGTTGTTTTCTGTTCGGATATAAAAAAATAGAAGATGAATAATTGTTTCAGTGTAATTTTCTCTGATTCTCTCAATTTCTCTCAGCAGAAATAAAAGCGACAAAATCAAAACAATAATATATATACCTATATGCCTTATAAACATTGATTTTTATATTTATCTAACATTTGGGACAATGATATGTCAAAGATCAAATTGATAAACTATTATATACACCTAATAACCATGCTTATATCAAACTCATGGTACATAGTAGATATAATGGATCATCCGCACCATCATTCTCATTTTCTTTCTCTGCGATCGTATCATTCAGTAATTCCCAATACGATGACGACGGAACACTTTTTTTGAACGTCTCTATTTTATAAATTGACGGCACAGCAGACTCTTGAAATCCATCAGCTTGAAAGAATCTTTATCAAATTGGGCCTAAAATGCATCTTTTTTGTACTGTTTTTAAGTGAATTTGAATGTTTCCCTCACATATTGCGGATTTCTTGAAATTAATTTTCCATTCTGGACGTTTCATTGCATTCTTCCATGACATTTTCTCTGAAGGGTCATTCGGAAAATTGAATAACTTGAATTTTTTTTCTAATGAATTATCGCAATAATGTACGCAGCAGGACATTGAAATAATTCAAAATGCTAAATTTTGGCGGTCATGAAATTTCGAAGTGACAGTGACAGAAATTCGAAATAATTAAAAAAGCGGGCGGGACGACTATGGTGTTTCGTCACATCGTCAGGTGGGCAAACCGAATGGAACAAAATATTAAAAACCCCAACGGCTGTCAGTTTTGTGTCCGGCCTCTTGTCTGAGGTATATACAGGGACTCTATGTGTATCCAGAAGGATGATACCGCAAAGAAATATGGTAATCGTAGGAGAATCTCATTGTAACTCAAAGTGTAAAGTACTTTTAATTTCACAAGTAAGCACACAGTACGAAACTATTTTAAGAGATTCACAAGATTCACAGTCGTCAATATTTACACAAAATTCTCAAAAACACCTATCTTGCTAAGACAGTGGCTTCTTCAAGTGGAAAACTCGTACAAAACCTAACCTATCATGGACTTCACATTGAAATTCTATGTGACGAATTAACTTGAGAGATGTGATATTCAAAAAAAGGTAAATTGTTGAGATCGTGTAGTAGATTTTAGCTCCAGGTTGTTTTGTCTCCCGACGCGTAGTGAAGGAAGTCAAGAATCCGTGAGCTAAAATTTGATATTTTTTCCGTGTATAATATCACTATTTTTTTCCTGTGACAGCGAAAAGGACGAATCAATATTGAGAAAATATTACATTATATCAAAGTCAGGAAATTATCGACGTGAAATTTTAAGTTTTCAACAGGAATGACACCTGCGTTGCAGGCATCTATTTGCAGGCATCTTCATCTTTCTTTTGAAGTAATCAAATATCTGTCAGTCTAATTCTGTGATTTGATTTTGAAAAATTGCGAATTTAGTGGTTGTTCAGTAATTTACGTAACCGCGGAGACGGTGGTATTTGCTTATTTTTCGGAAATACAGCACAACAAAAGCCATCAACAGTGTATACATATGTGATATATATCCAGGAAAAAAGTACTAACTTGTTTCCCGTGAGAAAGAAGTTATTTGTGCAAAGTGATATTCTATAACCTGTCAACAGATATAAAATTTCAAACTTTTTTACCGCCAAAGAAAAAACACATTTAGTTTT